TTAAACGAACGTTCGATGGAAATTGTCGAGGCAGTCAATGTGTCAATCACAATCGCATTATTATATTCTTACAGATGCGACGTGAATATCAGGTCTTTATGTTCTTGGACATGGCGAGTCTTTGCGATGAATACGCTACAAATCCGATTGATTTGGCAATATCGGCACCCAATAACGTAATAGCAGTATCGGGAAATAATGTGTAATAGAAATACTATCGAAAGGTACACGTTATATCAGTACATAGATCGTTATACCGGTATTCACGGCAATCAGACTGCTCAAAGAGTGTTCCAATCATTATACAATATCGGCCTGCATAAACACCGAGTTCTGCTACTGGTTTTAATCTCTGCAGTTCTATCACAAACAAAACAGTTTTGAACTAAAGGAATGACAAGGAGATCTACAAAATGCTATGTATTTCCAAATCTTTCCCTGATGAATTTGAAAATCATAGGAATGGCAAATTTAACAGGGAAAAATTTATATATGCATAGTCATAATCTCTCCAATTTTTACATTTCTGTAACTTCATTTCAGAAATGTGACTGTGAATATAATCGTACTGTCAAATCGATCGTTTCATGTAAGCGTATTCGGAAAACACGCAAATATCGTAACAAAGTTGTACACTGGACATTTACAAGCACGCTTCTATTAACATACGTCATTACAAAAATGTAGAAATTTCGGACGTTTAAAATTTACACGAATATCAATGGAAACTCGTGCAAATTACCATTAATTTCTACTCTTGGAGTATCCTTTTTATACAGAACTTATTAAGAGAGACTGAGTTTCTATAAAAACGTATTAACTAGTTATTCCGTAGAGAGAATGTCATCCGTGGTAAAACTATTATAACCGTTAATTATCTCCTACAATTTTTAATATTCTGTTTGAAATAAAAATTTTATGACATATTTACTTCCTTTATTTCTCTCTCTTTTTTCTTTCATCAAGTTCTAAACACTATATCTCATACATAGCGTTTTTCGATAATTTTGTAATGGAAAAAAAAAATTCAGCCAACCAAAATTCTTAGATGCGGTTTAATCGCAAATATAGTTTATATTAAAAATTCTATATAGCTCTTTAACACATATATTTTCGCCACATTTTTCAAACATGTGTTACTCGACATTGCTATAGTAATACCGAGATCGATGAACTTTATTCTTTCGGCGGTACTATATGAAATTAATTTTCTACAGAGTCGAGTTTCTGCCAATTGGCCCAAAACTCGCGGGATTGTTTATGACCCACATTTGCGGGGCAAAGTATTAATGCCAAATATAAGAGAAATATATGCAATATGTTCAAATGTTCATGTTATCTTCGCTGTAGAGAAAAAGAAACAAAATTTAGATTCACCCAAGGGAGCCTGAAATATCTATCGATACGTTTCGCTCATCGGGTTGTTATTTATGTTCGCTATCATTTGCTCGGTTTCGCTCGATGCGACATTTGGAACATTAGCTCTACTGTCAGTGGAGTGTGTGTTTCCGTCGGATCTACCACGGACACTTGTATCGCCGTGTATACGTAGAATAAAGCCTTGTCGTGAGAACGCGGTGCAGAGCATAGCAAAGCTTTGCTTGCTTTTTTTACACGTAACTAATATACTTATCCTTTTCTATTATTCTTCGTTACGTTTGTTACACCTCATTGCACTTCCACTTTTAACATTTCCAACGAGATGCGAGGGCATATATTGTGGCACAAACACGCCTGAACGGTAAAAACCGGCTTTCTTATTTACTTATTCAACTCCTCATCTCGCGAATACGTAAAATCGGTATTTAACTCGCCTTAAAATTTCCATTTCGCACAACACTGACGTCGGCGATATCCGATAAACAATTTTGACCATCGGTAAAAAATATCAACAATTCTGCTGCAGAGGTAGCAAAATTGCTTTTTTTTCTTCTTTTTTTTCACGCAAGAAGGTGCACGTTTCGCGGCGCGTTACTTCACATCGGTGGGCATACCGCGCGAAACGTACCATACTGTCGCATACGTCGATAAAGAAAAAGGTTTAACTGTACTGTATTTACATTATCGAGATATAAAAATACTAACGAGAAACGTACCTATATAGACGAGGTCCTCCGCACGCATCACTTCTTTAGAAATTAACTAATTCATAGTCAAGTTTGGCAGTAATATTGTCCCTAGCTATTTGCATTCTTATTGTTGCTTACAAGATTCCCGTCCTGGTAATTAGGCTCCCGACAAGATCACTTGCGGGAGCGTAATATTACGCTCATCGCAAATTTTATCCCTGCTCGCTGCTCTTATACATGCCATCGCGCGCTAAAATCTTTACTACCTTGGAAGATTTCCAAATTCTCCCTATACACACACACATATCTTCGCCGTGGATATAAGAAATGCCTTCGTTACCATTACGACTGTTGTCTGTCGTCGCTGATACCTGCGATGCCGATTACTCACGGAAACATGCAACTTCAAAAGATACATCTACTTTTGCTGAACCTGATATCTTACGGGATCGAACTGTGCTGAAGTGCATTATATGTATATATAAAGTACAAAATAAAGACTCTAAATTTGTCTCTCAAAATCTATCTCGATTAAACAAAAAATAACATAACATTGAGAAAAATGATGTTACAATGGCTGTGCTGATTGATAAGTTCGGTATCAAAGTCGTTGCAGAGACTCGACTCCTAAAAGAGAAAAGAAAAAAGTACAATACCGGCCACATAAATACAAAGATTCAGCCAGATATATCTTTCCGCTGCATGCTACCAACGTTCGCTTGACACTTCTCCGAGGCAAAGAAATGTATCGACACGCGCGAATCACCCCAACGATACTCCTAACTTTATGGAGGATAATAAAAATAATAATAATACTCGACGCATTTGTCGCAACAACATTTTACAGACTGTTCTCTGCAAAAACGACTCTTAACATCCGCGCGTGTACGCGGCACGCGTAAGTGTGTGTATGTATACATAGGTAAGAATATTCAGTATGCATATGTATATATGTACATACTCCATTTGGCATAATAGCCTTAACATTTCCTAGGCTTAGTTCCAAATGAATTTCTCGATGCAATATGTGCATTTATTTGTACATTATGACCGTTGATTATTTCGATGGAGCTGTTTCCACGAAATAATAATTATTGATGCACGAATATGTGTAGACATATTGCACGTAATCGAGAAATTTGAAAACTAGGCCTAGTAAATATTAAGGCTATTATGCCGGATTATGTATACATGTATGTATGTAACATATATATGTATGTAATACATACATACATATGCACTTTCGCATTTCTAGAAATATAGTAAATCTTATAAACGCCTGTTGTATATATTCGCCTGTGTATAATTTCTCACTAACACAATTACAGCCCAAGCGGATTACGACGGGCACGCGTTACACGAGACTGTGATCCTTTCTTTTGTAAAAGAGACGTATATACGTGGAAGAGAGAAAGAAAATGGCGACGAATCACGGCGTCGTGTCGTCATGAGCAGCCCGTTTCATTAACACTTCGTCTCCAGAGTCGCTCTCCTGTTGACTTTGTCGGAACACTCAGCAATGTCCAGCTTCTCCTTGACTTCCGAATAGCTGGTCGAACCTTCAGCCGACGATGTATGCGGCCCGACTTCTTCCAGAGATAATATCTCCGTACCGGTGGGTGAATAACTGACGGTGGTCGCCTCACTGGTAGGCGATGTTACGCAGCTGTCGCCTACGCTCCTGCTGCGCGGCGTGTATCGGCTCCTTTGGAACTGTTGTATGTTCAATGACAGGCTGGCCTGCATCGACGTTCTATCCGAGTGTTTCGTATGGTTCTCGGCTTGCTGTATATCGACATTAGACGGACTTCTCGAGCGCGGAACGTGAAGCGGACTATCCGGATCCGCCGCCAAGTCGGACGATAAGATTTTTGAGCCCGCAGCTAACCTACTCGCGCAAGGGGAATATTTTGGCAGATTTATCGTAATCTTGTCCGAGCCTACTGTTAGGGATGATCGGCCGAGTTTTTTTAATGGGCTGCAAGCAGGTTTCTTCTTTTTCAATTGCTTGGCGTCGCTGTAGGAGTCAAAGCTCTCGATGGAGCCGCTCTTCTCTTGTTCTTTGCACTTCTCCAGGCCCTTTCTCTTCATTTTGGTGCACGTGCAACTCCAAAGAAATTTCTTGGCGGTTTCCGTGCTCTTTGTGTGCGCCTCGTCAGGCTTCTTGAACTTTGTAATGTTGTCTACAATCGAGATTTTATTGTAATAACGTTGCCCATTGTTTTTGTTAGCGCTATTCAAGTCCAACGCCGACTCTATGCAATTGTACTTAAATCGAGATCCAGGAGACTTTTTCTCCGCTGTGGGCTGAGTGAGAGTACCTCTACAATCCGTAATATCCCTTTTAACATCACCGGAAGCATTGGAAAACGATGCGACCGACTTTTCCCCGATCGCGCATTGTCGACAGTCTTCTACTAATATATCGATCAAGGTCGTATGAGCTCTTTGACTATCCGTCTTCTTGTGATTCTGACCGAACGAGTTCTTCAAACTTCTGTGAACGATATTTTTTTGACTCTGAGCAAAAGGATTTTTCAAATTTTTCGGCAGATAAGTGTGTTTCTTGATAACTTTGTCGGTACGGTTGAATCGAAAATCATGACAATCGGTTACTTTCTTTTCATCGGTGACAACCTTGCTTTGCCCTTTGTCCTTTGCGTTCGCGGAGGAATCTTTCTGCTTAGAGTTCTTACTCTCCGATCTTACGCTACACTTCTTCGAATTATCTTCAGCATTTGGATTTTCGTCTTTGGAACGCGTTTTCTTAAAGGATCCTGGACGATGAGCTTCCTGGCATACAACCTGCTGTTGCTGCTCGCAGAAGAAGAATACATCATCTACGGAGGCGAAGGATGATTCTTCGTCACAGGGAAGGACGGGTGTCTTCTCCCCTGTGGGAGGCGACTGCTAGACAAGCTTCTCCGTCGGAGAGCTAGTCGAAATGGAGCTGATGGTATTAGAATTGTTGGAAACGGTACGTCCCTGGCTGCTCGCATGCATGTGGCCCCCTCCTTGCCCCCCCTGGCTCTGGGAGAGGCTGAGTCGCCGTCAGTTTATCAATTCCACGCTTACAAATTGCTTCAGTCGCTCGAGGTATTGATTGTACAACTCTACATCATTATGGCCAGCACCCTAAATAAAAAAAGATGATATTCAGTATTCATAAATTTATATATATATATATATATAGTAGTATATCATATACATGCAAATTGAATAGCCAAAATAAAATACAATATAGGATATAGGAAGAATATGTTAAACTGTTTCCATTTAATTTTTGATACCTCGACCCACAGTGGTTCTACTGCTCGTGGACATCTCTCGTAAATTGCCAAACCATGGCTGAAATTTATTACTTCGTCTTCAGTGCCGTGAATTACCAGTACAGGAGATGTTACCTTCGGTACTTTATCTATGCTGTAAAGAAATAATAATATTCAAACATTGCATGAGAGACAATAATAAGAGAAAGTAAATTTTTGAAAATTGAAAGATTAAGATGTAAGGTACGACGCAAAGTTATTGATGATTAACCGATTTTTTCTTTTCTTAATTTATTAAGTTCCGAATTTCCGAGATTAATTCCTTCGAGAACGAAACCTGGTGTAAAACACTTTTATTCAACATTGTTAGTTCAGTTTTGCATGAATCAAGTCTCTTACACAAGTCTCGACTTGTACTACTAATACTATATTGCACACGATTCGTACATCAATTTAATCTACATAATTATCTATATAATTCAATTGCTCACATCAGTATATATATGTTTGTTGAGCTGTCTATAAGTTGGTGCAAAAATCGTATTCATCATATTTATCTAAATTAGAGGCAAACAGTTTCGAAGTATTAATAATTTTTATAAATGAAAACTCAAGATCTTTAGATGTTTAACAACGCCTTCTAGTTCCCTTTTTAATAAACAATTTTTATGATTCTCAATTTATTAAAAAATCTTTTACTAATCTATTACTTTACACAAAATATGTATTCCAGTAAATATTACTGATATAATTGTTGATACAAAAGTACAAATTCTGATACAATAAAAAAATATGCAAAAAAAGGTAACATATTAAATGTCTTGAGCATGCGATAGTCGGGATACACGTCACAGATAACAAACAGATATACTCTGAATGAATTTTAGAAATCATCATTACCAATGATCGAATACTTATCATTAACAATCCTCGCGTGTGTTAAATTATACGATTTATATCACTAATCAATACATGTATTTACATTTCCATGTAAATAATATAGACGAACATTGGGCATAATAGGATATAGGATCTATAACTTTTTACAGAGATACTACTAGTTTTTACTAGAAATTTTTTGCAATTATTACTATTAGATATCTCTTATATATTGTTATCAGTTGTCATATTATTTTTAGCTAAAAGATGCTACACATTGTTTAATGCATTTGCTGTGTTCTCTGCAATTACGTTGAAATTTTTTTAGTACATCTACACAAGATAAAAAACGATAAAATTCTTCTTTTTATGTATATTTAACGTTATTAGAACGTAATATAACGTTATTAGATGATCTTTTCTCGTCATTTTAATTAAATGCCTATACAAATATATCGACTATCTATGATGTTTTGTTGTGTACTACATAATCGAAGCTATACATTTTGAGATACAACAGGATTATACTATTATGCTCTTAAAATGTTAAACTGCATTATTTTTTTTATGTGCTATGTTTAAAAAAATTGATACCAAAGATTACCATACTAAATGATGATTGTTATTAGTATTTTAATAAGAAAAGGATATCGTTTTATAAGAAAACTATTATTAGTAAATAATTATAAGAATAATTAAACGTGCAATAATACATTTTTATATATTGCATGTTTTAATGAATTACTTTTAAAAACTTTAAAATCAATTGTTTTTTGGGATATAAAGTTTATTAAATAAAATTTATAAATTTTGTGAAGTATTTTGCCCCGCGTAAAAAGCATATAATGAGATTAATTTACGTTTTCAATAAAACAATAATTTCCTTTTAAATTCTATCATAGTAAAACTTGTTTTTTTTTCTTATAGTAGATAATTCAAAGAATATTTTGTGCAAATTAAGTTGATTTATTTATTTTTAATATATTTAATATTTTTAATATATTTTTAAAACTTGTTTAAACCTTAGAGTTCCCATTATATCTTGGGTTCTTCTAAATTACAGTTGCGCGCAGATAACTTTAGTAAAAGTCGCACAAAATCAATTAGCAGAACACATTACAACGTAAGTCATGCAACACATAGGCTTCATAAGCACACATCCACGTGACATAAGTATATATTTGCCGTAACCTTGTGTAGCTTCCCGGTGAGATATCAAACTCACAAGCCGTGTTGGGCAAAACGTATTCGTAGAACATGAGCAACGAGTTAGAGAATATGTAAGTATATGTATGTATATATGTGTATATGTGTATGTTTATATGTGTATACGTATATGTATATATGTGTATGTATATATGTGTGTATATATATACATAAGTATATATGTACACACACACACGCGCTATTTCCAGATGCATATTTAAAATCAACGAACAAACGCGCTTTAGTTGAAGAACACAGAATTTCTTTGGTTCTTACGGCTCCTGGGTCTTTTTTAATAACATCAGAAGCAAAGAAATATGCACCAAAATTCTTATGAAATACATTAAAATAAAAAGATGTGTATATAAAGCAACATTTGCAATCGATCGATGCAAATCTATAAAATAATCCGAACACGTCCCTTTTGCTTTAACAATCAATAACTTATCGTAAATAAACGTGATATGCTAATCATACATAGAGATAGATTAAAGAGGTATATTGTATGTCACATAATAATCAACAGTAAATTATTGATTGTTACGACAAAAGGGAAATAGTTGAATTATTTTACAAATTTGCTCGATCGATTGAAAGTAGCGCTTTACGGATATATTTTTTTATTTCGATGTATTTCGCAACAATTTTTAGCATGAGTTTCCTCGTTTCTGACGTCACTAAAAAGAGATAAACAATGCGAGTACACAAATCAAATTTGGTCCTAAGAATAAAAAATTTCGTTATTCCTTCAAGCAAAATACGTTGATTCGATCATTACACCCAAATTCCATGATAATATAATCAAACTCTTTTCATCATATATCAAAATTGGCTGGAAAAATCCAGTGGGTAAGAAAAACTATGGTAAATTCCAATTTTTATCATCCTGGATTGCATTTAATAAAATAAACCGGCAAAAATTATAAAAATAATTAATTTATTTATACTTAATTTATATTTATACAACTTTTTGCAAAAAATATTTTTGCTTTAATTAACCAATCATGCTAATCCCTGATTAAAAAAAAAAAAAAAAACTAATATAATATAAAAAGTATTTTTTAATTCAAATTAATATATAAAATATATTTGTAAAACAAAAACTTTGAAGATATACTACTAAATTTTATATTAATTTTTAATGATAATGTTCCCATGATAACGTGTTAGTTGAATCTGATATGATATACCGCTTGTCGTCGTACGTGCTTATACTTAGAGCAATTTTTATTTCGGATACTATGTACACTTCGTGCAATTTTGATCTTATGCACCATTGACGACAAATCGTTTCGATTTCTTCTCTCAAATACTGTGCGTAGTCGTCGAAAGATATCGTTCGCGCTACGATATTATTTTTGACGCCTTTGGCCTTTTTCGTGTCCTTGCCGTCCATTCTCAACGCGTACATCTTTGCCCTATGTCCGATAAATTCCGTCATGATCGCTCCATTGTTTTCGTCTTTCATCACGCCCGAACTTTCTTATTTACAAGCAGTATACTGTACACGTTGTCAGCGGGATAATCGCTCGTATCAAACGTAATAATGTAATTAAAAATGTTTACCAGTACAAGTCTAAGTTTGCATCTATCACTCAATATCTTGTAACAAAAAATTTATTTGCTGGATCCTAATTTATTACAGATTTCTAATTTATTACAGATTTTATTTTGGATAAATCTTAAATTGGAAAACACTTTCAATTGACGCGGAACTCGCCAAACAGTTATGTATGTGCATTACGAAATTAATCAAATCTGTCGGAAAATAATCACTTAATAATTTTACTTGATGCTATCGTTTTGACATTCATATTTCTGGCTTTTTCAAAAAAGAATGATTTTGGAAAGAGTTAAACCTCTGCTTGAAGAGATATAATTAACATATTTATTTATTAACATATTGTTTTATCATTTTTAATAGAAAATACCAGTTTTTCCAGAAAATACCGATTTTTGTTTTTAGTAGCTTGGACTTTATCCAAAAAATATGGAATTTTGCCAACCCGGTCGTTTCACTGCTGTGTACACGTTCTCATGTAAACATGTAATGATAATTATGTAAAATATTGCAAATTATATTAAAATACATGAAAAAAGTAATTAACTTATGAAACAGTTACCGTAAGTTTTTTGAATATTAGTTATAAATATAATTTAAAAAAGATAACAAAATTATATGAAATTCTCACTTTATTATGTGACAGATTGTAAATTCAATTTTCTGTAAGTAAGAATAGTAACTAAAGGATTCTGTAGACTCTCTAAATTGTTCAGGAAACAACAATCATGAATTTACATCAGAATTCTAAAAGTTAAATAAAAATATAAACTTTATTTAATTTTTTAGCAAGCCATACGTTCTTTAAACGACATCTATAGATTACTCATTGTCTACATGGATAACATCTCATACATAGTTTATACGTAGACGTTTCAGTAAACATCAAATAGCAGTAACATTACATCAATATAATCTCTCATCAATATTTCTCACTCAACAATGTAACCGTTATATGTAACATGTGTATTATATTATATAACATATGTATTATAGGTGTTTTTATATTATGTGTTATACTATATTTATAGTGATGAGTAGGAAGTTATAACATTGATGTAATGTTATCGTTAGTTGGTGTTTGTTAGAATAGAATATTATAATCTACATATGTGAACATTCAACCATGGATAATACGCGAATGTTGTCCGGAAAATAAGGTATTTAAAAAGTCCGAAAAATAAGGATCACAATTAGTTCAAGTTTTATTTTCAAAAATATGAAGTTTGAAACCTGTTACTTATATATATATATAAAACGGTCTATCTACTTTTCTACGTAATCTGCAAACAAATTATGTCTTGCTGTTTCATTAAAACACAAATTTCTCCATACCGACGCACTGGTCTAAACAGACGAAGTTGATCTTGAACAATGAAAATGAGAGACTGCGGCATTCATTGCATACAGACCAGATTTCTCCCCATCAAATTTTTGTTCTTTCAGTTCTTTTGACACATTTTACTTGGGAGAGAGATCCATGGACGAGAAAGAATTTAAAGAAACAGTTATAGGTCAGTTGTGCAATTTTAGGCAGGGAACATAGATAAAACGTCCAATCTTTTGGAAATGTCATAAAGTAGACCCTGTTAAATATTCTTTTTTTACGATTTATATATATATATATATATTTGAGAGTAAAATTCTTGAAATAGTTTCAATGTTTATTTCGTTTTTCGGATGATACTGGCATAATTAAATAAACATATATATAGAGAGAAAAGTAATATCATTACCGTTACACATTACTTTACACATTACTAACTACTAGATATAGACATTATTTTTTTTTTCATTAATAACGATAACATAATTACATTTTCGTAAATGTTAGTAACAAATACATTCATTACTTTTATTATTACTTTGCACATATAGAATATATACATATGTATACAGAAAAAAGGTAGAAGTAAATCCTAAAAAAGTTTTCAAAGCTTGGTGAAAAAAGTAACTAAAATTGTAGTGGTACGTTCTTGAATAAAGAGAACTTCTTGAATAAAGAGAACAATAACAAGTAACTTTTTTTTTAGCGCAGCATGCACTACTAAAAAAAAACTAATAATGAGTAAAAGGTAACACGTTACTTTTCAAAAGTAAGTTTTCTAACACTGCATATTGTGTATATAAAATAACAAACAATAAAATGTGTATTAGATATAAAGTGTAACATATGTACATATAAATTCATATGAAATTGACATAAAAAGTTTATTATATTTACCGGACAAAATTACAGGTTCCAAAAAATGATTTTCGCTAATACCAATATATTTGTCTCGATAAGTCTTTTTTTCAAATTGAAAAAGAATAACTTTATTCCCGTCTTAAAAACTCGAATCGATAACTTTGCCCGTGGACAGAACGCAATTGAAGAGAGAAAATAACGAACTTTTTACATCATTCTAATAATAACTTTCTGTTCCCAATATGTGTAATTTTCAAGTAGAATACTGGTTTTATTGTTTGTTCATTACAAACTACACTTACTAGCACTTAAAGCAAGACAGGTATACACGTACCAAAGTTTCGGGAACTAAAAAGAGAGAACGAAGTACAGAAAGTAAATAAATAAGCAATCAAATAAATAAGTTTCTTTTTTTATTATACGCTTCTTCGTTTCTTTAACTAATTTTTACGTATCGATCCTTTCGTTTCGAAATCTCGACAACCAATTCACATAACGAGGGGTTAAAAATTTTCATGCCACGTGCGTGATCCTATGCTTGAGAGAAAGGCGCATATAGAAGTAGAGAAAGGGACTGAGAAAGAGGGGAGGGAAGGGAAAGGAAGGGGGAAGTAGAGAAAACTTCACGATAGGTTCATGCGCGTGGAATCTCTTGTCTCACCCGATAATAAAGAGCATATATTTCACGATGCCGATGATGAGAGAAAGATAGATAGATATACCAGAATCGTCGCACTTACGCAGGTGGTGCAGCAGGTCGCCGCTGTTGCTCACCTGGTAAAGGCATCGAAGAACCACGTCCTCTTGGTCTTCGGGAAGGCAACCCGCATACCGGACATGAGAGGCGAGTGTAGCACGACCGCGCCGACCTCGTAACGCGCGGCGAGATCGACCGTGGGCACGGTGCCGATGCTCTGACCGTACAGTATTATGTTCTCCGGGCTGATGCCGTAGCGCGTACGTAGTGCATGCCACGCGGCGTCGATGTCCGCGTACAGGTTTTTCTCGGACGGCTTGCCACCCGACACACCATAACCGGAGTAGTCGTAGCTGAATATGTTACAGTTGATGCGCGAGCCTAGCCCGAGGTAGAAACTCGACATCTGGCCGAGGTCGACGGCGTTGCCGTGGGAGAAAAGAATGGTAAAGCGCGCGGTCGCCGAGCAGCGTACAAACAGGCATGCTATACGATTGCCGCGCGAAGTCCTCGCGTAGAAGCCCTCCACCGATTCCTTCTCGCGCTCGGTATATTGCCACTCGGCGCGCTCCGACAGCGAGATAGTGAACTTGGATCCTTCATCTTCGACGAACGTGTACGTAGGTTCAGGCGGCAGGAAAGCCAGCTTATCAGCGATCCTGGACGGGCAGGGCGGACAGCAGAACAAGCAACACAGTTCACTCAGACTTAACCCGTTCATCGTGCGGCACGGTCGGAGACGTACGTACGACGACTTCACACAGCCGCGCACGCACTAAACACCGTCTGTATCACCGTCTTCTCTACCTCGTGGGGCCTCGGCATCGAACTGTGTTGTCAGTGATCGCTCTTGTTCGCCTTATCTCTTTCTTTTCCTCGTAATCCCCAGATCGCGACTGAACCCAGCCAAGAATCCCGGAGCCTAGCAACCTTATCGTGAGAGACGGATATCGCGACACTCGCCGCCTAATGAGTCAGACACAGCGTCATTTGTTATCGGTTTTCCTACGAGTGTCCTCACAATGATTCAGCCATGACAGCTCGCAAGACGGGCGATTTCTCTCCCACCTTTGCTGCTCGCTGCTTGGTGTCTTTCTCTCTCTTTCTTTCTCTTCCTCTCCTGTTTCACGAGAACGCCATGTCTCCCCCACTCACTCTACGTTGCGCACTTTCATTGTGCCAGGTGAGATGAAACGCGAGACAAAGACAGAGTTACCGCGGTACCGTTTTGTCCGCGTCGTACTTGCGCGTTCGATCGACTCTGAGGTTCGCCGATGGTCGTCGACTGTCAAATGATGGACACCGATTAATTCTGATTGGCTATGACATGGATGCATCCAGCGCTACAACTGTTCATTGAGCGCTCAGTGAGCTCTTGCATCTGATTGGTGTATGTTTTTAAATCTAAAAGAATGTGCCAATTGGATGAAAAAGCTCAATGAGCGATTGGGTGCGTTCAGCGGAAAAAGCGCTCAGTGAGCAATCAGTAATTATTGGTTCTTACTGTGAGATCCCTAAATTTAGACCAATTACATTGACGAATTGCTCAACTGTTGTGCAACTGTTAAGTTCGCTGAACGCACCCATTGTAGTACGGGTGGAAATTCTCAAGTTTGTTCGCGTCGCATAATGGCTCCTGCACACAGGACACGGTAATGCTTGTCGCGCGGCGAAAGTTCGCGCAACAGCCAATCAATATGCTGCTTTCCGTAATAACCTTCTAGCTCTTATGGAAGAACAACATATTGATTGGCTGTCGCGCGGCAAGCATTACCGCGTCCTGTGTGCAGGAGCCATAAGATTTGTTCTTTCCAGCCACAGATGTCTATACTAAACTAGATTGCTAACAAGGGCTTGGAACGTGTGTCGCGTAAAGTTTCCGGTTGCATGAGCAAATGGCGGCGGTCCTGTGTGTGTAACGTTGATGTGTGTGACGTGTCACTTGTATGAGTATTTACAACGTACAATGTGAGTTATCGTGGTCATTAAATTACTCGTAAAACCAAAAATATCAGCATCTTATTGCATCAAAAAATGTCGTAACAAAAAAATAGATGATATTGGATGTTATTTGCTCTGCTCATTTTCAACAAAAGAATTTTATAACTAAACGTAGTGAAAAAATGTGGTGGTAGCGGTCATTTTCTAGCATGCACCGGACACTCTATCGGACACAAACCGTTATATGCTTTGAAGCCCATATCAGACTATAGATTAGAATTGAGATGGAATTGAAATTTAGCTAATCAGAGCAAAATTCACTAAGCTCAAGTTTAGTGAACTTTGCTCTGATTGGCCAATTTTCAATTCAATCTCAATCCTAATCTATAGTCTGATACGGGCTTTAGATAGCAATCTAATTTAGTATAAGCCTGTTCTTTGTAGCTGCACTGCTGAACTAGTGCAATAATAGTGTTCGACTGGCCTTGGGTTAATTGTTCCGAGAGCGATTAATGATATCATAAGTCTCTACTAGCCAATCATAAAGTTTATAAGTACTTTTTCGACCAATAAACGTAGGCTGAATAACCTAGAGCCAGTCGAACATGCTATAAGTTAGAGTGAGGAAACGTATATTTGTCTCATTTCAATATATTGCACCAGTTCAGCAGTGCAGCTACAAACTAGAGACCCTTGAGTAAAGACTTGTCATAACGAGACTCCGCGTGATTGGTGCACGTGACTTTTGCTCACTAAATGGCAACGCCAACATAAAAGCCAGTATTCATAGTCAAATCTTATTTCAAGATCGTCTTAAGTAATGTCTTAAGATGTGAATACGGCTCTGTGATTGGTTCATGACATCTTAAGACAGTACTTAAGTTGATCTTAAATATAAGATCTGACTATGAATACCGGCCAAAAGCTCGTCTACAATAGAAGTTGTAGAGTTTTAAAGAGTCGTAAGTCATAGAAATTGACCAATCATAGTTAAACTCGAAAAGAATAATCGACCGTGATTGGTCAATTTCTATGACTTGCGACTCTTTACGACTCTACGACTTCTACTGTAGACGAGCCTTAAGTTAGAGTGAGAAAAAATATACTCGTCTCACTCTACTTATTCTTATCTTATTCTACTAGTGCAGCAGTGCAGCGAAAAAGTACAGACCACGCACTTCCACGCAAAGGTTACTGATAACACCGATTTTAATTAAATTAGATTTCTTCTAATATTTATTTCATACGTTTACATCGTCATTTGTATCATTTGATACGTGTATTAGTTTAGTACGACACTCCTATTTGGTACGCTTGTACAAAATTGATCTGTCAGTGTTTACATAGTGCGTATTAAATATTTAGTACAAATTTGATACGAATATAGTACCTGGTACGCGTATCAAGTGCCCGATATAAACTAGGCCACTGTCGGAAACGATTGCGACAATTTTTGTGCCCAGAGGGTTGGTCATGAATCTTTTAACCTAATATAAATGTAAAAAGTGAAAAATTTAACCTTGAAAATATATTGAAATGTACTATGTGAAACCTATCAAACAACGGAACGGAATAAAAACGGAATAACTCTGATTGGCTGAGCCCCACCATATCTCTTTTCCGTAACTGTACTGTTCCGTTATTTCTTCCTCGATCTGAACGTACTCTTATTCTTGAAATAGTTGTGTATACGTAAGTTTTACTGTGCAGGTTTAATCATACCATAAAATAGCTGCGCAGCAAAACTTACGTATACGCAACTATTTCAAAAATAAGGGCCAAGATAGTATATACAGGGTCATCGAAAAGTATCGGACCCCCCTAATATCTTCAGTTAGAATGCATTTTGGAGAAAATGTCCAATAGCAAAGTTGTATGGTTTCAAGCGGGGAGTAAAATGGTGACCTTGACTTTGACCTTGACCATGTCCTTCAAGGTCATTTCAAGGTCAACCTTATTTTTTTAAATGGAACCCCCTACATTTTATTGCATATTTTTATAGCTTATTCAAGAGTTTTCCAAAACGCTAGAATAAAACATTTTTTCATTAAGTACTTTTTGAATTATAAAGGTTTGAAGTTAACAATTTTTTGACACAAAATGTAAAATATTTTGTAAAATATTATTTAGTTTTCAGTAATCATAATCTTAATACTTTTGTGCGCGGAATAATGAGACCCATTAATTGATTTAAAGAAAATACATTAATCGAAAAGTGTTGGATCCCCCTAATATTTTCAGTAAGAATGCATTTTGAAAAAATGTCCAATAGCAAAGTTGTACGGCTTCAAGCGATGATGCTAGTAGGCTACGGCGGAATACTGCCCGATAGTGATCGCGAGAAACTGCTCGAATGCGTGATGTATGAAGGCGTTAGCGGGAATCTGCCCGAAAGTGTTGGCGGGGCCGATCTTTATTCTCTCACTCTCGCAGGCACCAATGTACGAGCTCTTAAGCAAACAATACGGATCACTGATTTTAATCTTTGATGCAGTGCTGCCTTTTTCTTAGCGAGCAGCAGTCACCTCGTGGACGAAAACAAACAGCCCCAAAATTTTTTTCTGTAACAAAAGAAGCCATTGCGCTTCAATTGATTGTCCCAAACATCAACATTGCCAGGCTGTTGAAGGGCAACAATTTGAACATTTGTTGTGAATTGTTTAGTACAATTGAATATTTTGCCCAAGCTGACCAATTGGAATAAAATTCACCTTAACTGGCCGGACCCACACGCCACTCTTGCCTTAACTGGCCGGACCCACATGTCACTCTCGCCTTAACTGGCCGGACCCACACGCCACTCTTGCCTTAACTGGCCGGACCCACACGCCACTTAACAAATTGTTAACTTCAAACTTTTATAACTCTTACTTAATGTAAAAGTACTTAATGAAAAAATGTTTTATTTTAGCGTTTTGGAAAGCTCTCGAGATAAGCTATAAGAATATGCAATAAAATGTAGGGGGTTCCATTTAAAAAAATAAGGTTGACCTTGAAATGACCTTGAAGGACATGGTCAAGGTCAAAGTCAAGGTCACCATTTTACTCCCCGCTTGAAACCATACAACTTTGCTATTGGACATTTTCTCCAAAATGCATTCTAACTGAAGATATTAGGGGGGTCCGATACTTTTCGATAACCCTGTATAATAATATTAAATTCGTATTATATTTTTCCTTTAGTACGTTCGATGTAAACGCACACGTATTAAAACATTGGTGCGCATCAAATTTAATACGCGTACTAACGTTTTGACGATGTAAACCAGGCCAGTATCGCAAACGTAAAGATGCCTTTACATTGGAGCATCGAGCGTCGAGCGTTAAAGCGGTAGCCAATCAACGTGCCACTTTCCGCAAGAACTACAAGTATACTTCTGGAACCTGATACGTTGATTGGCTAACGCTTTAACGCTCGACGCTGGAACGCTCCCATGTATTGGCACTTTAAGTCGGTGTCGGAAGTCAACGCACGAGGATTGACGTAGAGGGAGCGTCCCGATTGACCACGGTACGATTGGACACAACTAACCGATGAAAAGAATTATCTAGTGAATTACTAGATCGAACCAATCATTGGCTGCATTCAGTAGACTCAACAGTTGAGACTCAACAGTTGAGACATCTGTTTCCGATGGATCGAACTCCGCTATGAATTTTCTACTGGATTCGTTTGTGATATCACTACTAGTAAAGATGGCTACTTCTAATGTATTACTTTAAAATAAAAGCGGATAAGGTTAAGTTAAGAGTAGTTTGACAGTAAAATTAAATTTGAAATACTTACGAATAATTTATGGGAGCGGTGCACTTGGACACAGCCAATCACAGCACCGTGTGATTAGAGACATTTGTAGGGTCCCTTGGAACAGCGACTTGTGATTGGACTGTGTCCAATTGCCCCGTGTCCAACTGATATACACCCATAATTTATAAAACAACATTGCATTATAAAGTTATGTTATATTATTACAGGAAATCTATACGTTCATACAGGACCTAAGCAGAATAGCTATCTTGTGAACTTACGACAATGTGTAATACAGTTTAATTATTGTTAATTTAATATTTTTACATGTATAAGTATGTATAAGTATTTCTTACACTTATAAATATTTCTTGTAAATGTTAACAAAATAATATATGTGATTAAGGTTTAAGGATCAATTGTTCCAACTTCTTGGTAAGTTAATTGATAGTTAAATTATATCTCTGTCTTTGTTTTTCCTTCAATTAAGTAAAGATAAACATATGATTTAATACTTAAAAACAAATATGCCTTACATTTTTATTTTAAGGCATAATTGTTTTTAACCATTAAGTCAGCCATTAGTTTAAGCCTTTACAGATATTGTACTAGTAATAATTATACAGATTATTTACAGATATACTAGTAATAACAAAACAATAAAACAAAATATTTTTTATGCCAGTAATGTCAGTAATATATGCAAGTATATTACAAAAAGAGAGGTTAGATTATTAATAATAATAAATATATTACATTAAATTATTTCGAATAATAAAATTTATTATTATTCTTACATACCTGATTGAAGATGTGTAAATCAGCATTTTCTATTATTTTATATAACTCTCCTTTATATTCATATATTTTTTCTATGACATCACTTTTCTCACTAGACGTCGCCATGTTAGATTGTATCACTTTCCGCTCAAATAGCGTAAATGAAAACCGCTACAAAATATGGCGTCCGCTCCCTCAACTTGTTGAGATGTAACAATTGAGCGGAGCGTCATTCAGTAGAAAATCTAGTAATGTTGCCCAACTGTTGAGTCTACTGAATGCAGCCATTACAATCTGTGTCCAATCGTATCGTGGTCAATCGTATCCCACCCGACGTAGACGTATGCTACATCAATTGTGTCATCCGACGCAGTCACATTGTTCCTGTGGATAAAAGACAGAACAGAGCAAAGCAAGAGTAGCCATAAAATATATTAGTTGTAAATGAGAATAGATACTACTTCTTCTCACTCGCTCTACACTCGATATCGTAAGCATCCTATAGTATACATGATATAAACTATAGATTTTCAATACTGGCTGTGAATACCGGAAGAGATAACGCCACAGGAAGTATAATATATATAAAACTAAATGTATTATACTGTATAATATAGTGTATAATACAATGTATAATATCTCAGGATGCTTACGATAACGATAGTAGAGCGAGTGAGATCTGGATCCGAGAGAATAGATCTCCCATCTATAATATTCTATGGTCGGCTCTTGCTTTTAACCCATTCTACAATTGCGTAAGCGTAGTCGTGATCGTAAGAGTCAACCAATCCGAATGTTTTATTTACTGATTGCTTTATTCTGATTGGTTGTCGTAATCACGTACAACTACGTTGACGCAATTGTAGAATGGGCTTTACAGTCACATGAACACAGGAGCAGATCAGGGGCTCGATTCTTGACGGTATGCGAATGAGATATGCATGCGAAAATGTGTAGTTTACGTTACGTATACTGTAGATTTTCGCATGCGTATCTCATTCGTACATCGTCAAGCATCGGATCCCAGGAGTTCGTTTCACGAACAACAAAGGGTAATGTATCATACTTAAAGTGTATTAATATTTTATCTTTTTTATTTAAAAAATTATGTAACATATTATTTCACTTTATTAATTATTTGAAATTCTCAAACTCTCCTTAAATAAATACTGAACCTATATTAATAGTTAAGGTAAATGTTCCAATGCCCGGATATTTACCTAATTCCGGACACTTATTATTTTAAATATTTCTCTAAATATTTCATCTTTCAACGTACACTAAATATAAATATTAAATGTATGTATACCAATATGTATGTATTGTACGTTGAAAGTTGAAATATTCATATTCAACTATAAAAATAATAACAATGTCCGGAAATTGGTACATGTCCAGGCATTGGTACATTTACCTTATTACTTGAAACTTGTTTCACGTCATTCAGTAAGCAAATTGAGCGCAGATTGGCAGCAAATTTGATCAAAAACCCACAGCAAAACCATAGCCATCTGTGTCTACATTAGGCTACGGTTTTGACGACAGATCTTACTGTCGGGCAATTGGTGCCAAATTTGCAGCAAAAACCGCGCAAAGCTTGCAGCGCAAGATCTGCGCGGTTTCTGTCGCCAATCTGCCGTCAAGATAAAATATTAATACACTTTAATTATACATTACCCAAGTAACACGTATCGTTTAAGAAACGTTTTTGATATATTTTACAAACAATAATAAAACGTATATAAAACCAACATGTGCTACCAGGGTACCCTTTGTTGTTCGTGAGACGAACTCCTGATCTGCTCCTGTATTCATGAGACTGCAAGAGCAAGAGCAAGAGCAGACTATATAATATTATAGTTATAGATAGGAGATTATACTATTCTTTTGAATCCAGATCTCACTCGCTCTACTCTCGTTTTCGTAAGCACTCTCATGGCTCCTGCACACAGGATGCGGTAATGCTTGCCGCGCGGCGGAAGTTCGCGCGACAGCCAATCAATATGATGCTTTCCGTAATAACCTTCTAGCTCTTACGGAAAAACAACATATTGAACAACATATATAAAATGATTTAATTCGCGGAAATCTAGTAAGATTTTGTCTTCCGCGTTTCCGCGTTTTCACGCTTCATGTAATGACACCCTAATGGCACCCTCAATCCTGCATAAAGTCCATTTTACAATTGCGTAAGCGTAGTCGTGAACGTAAAGGCCATTCTACAATTACGTAATGGCTCCTGCACACAGGACGCGGTAATGCTTGCCGCGCGGCGGAAGTCCGCGCGATAGCCAATCAATATGTTGTTTTTCCATAAGAGCTAGAAAGATATTACGAAAAGCAGCATATTGATTGGCTGTCGCGCGAATTTCCGCCGCGCGGCAAGCATTATGGTTTCTGCACACAGGGCGCGGTAATGCTTGCCGCGCGGCGGAAGTCCGCGCGATAGCCAATCAATATGTTGTTTTTCCATAAGAGCTAGAAAGATATTACGAAAAGCAGCATATTGATTGGCTGTCGCGCGAATTTCCGCCGCGCGGCAAGCATTATGGTTTCTGCACACAGGG